AGCCTGGAAGATCGCAGCCGTTAGACTTAAACCTTCTTAGCCTTAAACAGCCCTCGATAGTTTTTTCGAACCAGTAATCAAGTATCAAGGGCCTGGAATAGGGGAATCTACACAGTCAGTACATATGGTTCCCAAGGTGTGTCTAAAGAGATGACGAATTTTATGTGAAGCCAGAAGGACTTGCTATGTGGCGTTAGTCTATTTTGGTAGTCTGTAGGTATTAGTTATCTACTACTGTCCTTTTGCTTAAATTCAACCGGGCATGGCCTCATGGAGGGACAACTGTTGTGTATGCTAGGTCAACCGTGTGTGAGTCGACAGTTCGACTAACATTAACTGTGCCAACTAGATCACCCTCAAAACAGTACCTCTGTCTATCTGACGAAGTCGAACACAGCTTTTTTACAAATTATTTGAAAGGGCAGAAAGTTCACATCCTAGAGATGAGGTAAAACCTAGACTTAGATTAAAATATTTTTTATTCATCAAAGTGGCGGAAAGGGGGAGTCACTAGCAGCGTAGCCAAAACTCACATTTCCCTCCTCAGCTAACGCAGGCAGCTGTCCACCTCGTTTAAGGCCGGTTATAAAGTCTCCGAAGGAAACACGTCCATCTCTGTCCACGTCGAATTCTCCAAAGGCCCTCCGTATAGCTCCTATCAGGGCTTGGTTTTTTTCAACTCCACATGCTGAGCAGACGTCCGCGAGTGTCAAGAAATTCTGTCCTCCCGAGTCTAAGGCCGCGAAGAGACGGTGCACTTCGCCTACTTGCAGCTCCGGGCTTGCGGAGGCCACAAACCCCAGTTCCTCAATAAACTCCTTCAGCCTGGGGAAGGTGATTCCTACTGGTTTTCCATCCGCGACTGCATCGCCATTGGCGAAGAGTTGTTGGATCACTCGTTTTGGTGGCGTCTGGCCGAAAAGCTCCAGAAAGAAGACTTTAGCGTCTTTTGTGGTGAGGTAGGACTTTCCGTCGGCCGCGTTGTCGAAAGCTCGCAGCAGAGTTCGTGACGTAAAGAGCATTTGTTGAGACTGTGTCCACAGGCTGTCTTCTAGCGCGTGTGATTATGCTTACCTATGGCTGCATGTGTCTACGCGCGACCTGCTCGCGCAGGTGGGCACAACCAATGAGAGTCAAGGTCATGCTGGCGTCATGACAGGCACTCACGGCGCGCGCGAGTGTATAAGGCGCAGATGGGCCATAGAGTGTTGACGACGGCAAATTCGAGCAAGAACCGGGTCATGCCGGTCTTCCTGATTTTTATTGATGATATCTCTGTAGACCGAAAAGCACTAGCAGATGCGAAACCACCTCTCCCAACGCGGACAACTAAAAGGCCCGCCTAGGCAGCGGAAAAAAATCGATCACTCTGAGGCCGACGGACAGGTCACGGCACGCCACTGGCCGTTCTGCTTAATTAATTGCGATTAACGCCTTGACAGGAATGAGCCGACTAAACTCTCCAGAAGTCAACCTACAAATAAATCAGCCCCGGTCTTGCTTCTGAAAGTAGTCATTGCACTTCGCTAAGCGACTGACTTCGAGGACCCCATACTGAAGTCCATACGCAAAACGAAGCACGAATATTCCGTCCTATGATTAAAATAGACCAATAAACTATCATGCGCACAAACAGCACTTGTGTTTTGAAGCCTTCTAGTCATTCCTCGTATTTATAGCATGTGGATTTATTGAGTTTTTATTTTGTCCGTCAAATTAAAGTCAGAAGTGTACCGAGTAGGTTTCGCGCAATTAACAAACGTTTCTTCCGGATGATCATGCTTTTTAACTCATTGACCAAGAAGCCCAGATGACTGCTGTGTGGTAAATACGACTTCAATTTTTGCATTCTAGTCTCATTTCCCACCAACATTCATGACAGGAATGGTCTAACATAGTCTCGACAGAGGTTGAACGGAGTCGTTTGGTCACCAATACGCCAAATTTATGGGGAAGGATGTAGTCAGCGGGACCTTTATAAAGTTTTACCGTTCCATAATGTATGCTAGAAAAGAAACTAGAAAACAATTTCTGGCAGCAGGAGAACGCAAGCACTGATTGTAATTTCCAATGATATCCACTGCGTGCTCAATGGCGTGGACACTAAAACAATGAAGTAGTTTATGACGATAG